CCGGTCCTTGACAGCCTTGCTCATCCTCGTGATTCTTTTCCAGCAGCCGAACAGCCAATCGTGCGGAGTCGACTTTCCCAGATCCGCACCTGCTTCCATGATGGCCTGCTCTAGAAGATCGGTATTCAACAGCGTTGGCTTACCTTCAGCCTCCAACTCTTCTCTAAGCTGTGGAAGAACATGGAGCTCTTGACCATGCATGTCCTTTGTCTGGTCAGGGTCTAGACTGAGACGAAATATATTCCTCAAGGTACGGTCTTCCCACTGTTCGATAGTCTCATTCGGCCTGAAACTTTGTCGTGAACTTGGTCTTTCCAAGCCGTCCATCTCTCGCTTCTGAGGAGTGACATTCGCGGGGGTGATTCGTATCCGAGTCGTAGGTGGAGGTGACGGGTCTTTCGTGTTGCTGCCGGATGGCGTTGATGACCCGGCCGGTGTTGGAGGGTCCGGCGTGTTGAGTTGGGGCGTCTCTGGTCGTGATGATGGCGTTGACTCGGGGCCATCTTGGGTTGGAGTTGAGGAGGCGGCGGCGGCATCTTGCGACTGCTGCTGCGGCTGTGACTGCTGTAATTTTGCGAGTCTCTTATTGCGGATCTAATCGATGTTAGAAGATCTTGATGCGTGAGCATCGCACGCACCTTATCCGAGTCCATCGAAGGATCCGCCATGGCTGCGGTGGTTGTAGATAACAAAATGTCGCATACGATGTTCCGGTGAGGTTGCGCGAAGGCGGACAACTTGGGGTTGACGTCGATGTTATTTCGAAGACACTAGAATCAGTGGCACGGAGATACTGCAGCCTCCGGGGCGGCGCGCCCCCCGCGCAAAGCAGTCCTGCGTCCTCAGCACTCCGGCTGCCTGCTCTTGCTGCCCCGGTGGTTGCGCCCTGGCAAGTGGGCTGCCTGGCTTCCCCAACTTTGGCCTTGCCAGCCGATGAAGGATCTTTCCGGTACTAAGGCGATCAATATTGGAAATTCGAAGAAACAGTCCCTTCATTCCATAGAATAGCAGTCAATTTCAACGAGCTATACCGTTCTCTTACGGCCTTCCACCGGCCTGGCCAATATGGGCGCCCCCAACACCAAACAAAAAAAGTGCATTCTTACAAGCAATCACGAAAAAGCAATCATACGACATTCCAACCCATAACTAGTACTGCCGATTAACTTTCAACTCATCCAACCGGCGGCACCCGGGCATTGCCATTTCCCTGGCCCTCTTTAACCTGTTCTCATCTGTAAAGAAAAGACCCGTTGCTTCGTTGATCTCGTGCCGCTGCCGCTGTACCTCATTTTCGCATTGATACTTCAAAGTTGAGACATAATCCACCTCCGCCCGTTGATCTAGGGCGCTGAACTGTCTTGATGTATATCCCTCCACCTCCGCCGGATTCAAGAAATAATCAATGTTGTACCTAGGTGTCACTCGATGCATCGTGTGTGGCGGAACGGGGGAATCGTATCGAACATGCGGACCGGCATTGGAGGACCCCGTAAAGAACGATGACAGCAGCGGAAGAACAAAGAGCAGTAGTAGCGGTAATAGTTGTGTCAACGCTGAAAGGCCTGTCGGTGCAGTGTCCGACTGAGCATCTCTCGGCCTGCCTCGTGGTCTGCCGCCTCCCATGCGATGTACTGTGAATCCAGGACCGCCGCCCATATTAAAGACGAACTGAGGACCCCCAAACCCGCCGCCTGTTGTCCCATATCAGTACAGTTTCTACAGCAGTATCGGACGTCGGGTCGGAGGTGGGCGTCTTACCAAACTGGAACCCAGGTCCCATGCCACCGCCGAAGAACCTGTTGAACAATTCCTCTGGCGATATCTCGTCTTCATACATGGGCCCTCTGCCAGGTGATCGCGCAAAGCCACTAAAGGGACTCGCTCCTGCGCTTGCAGCACCACTGCTGGAAAAGCGGCTATCGGGATCGCCACCGAACTGATCGTACTTCGACTTCTTGTCGCCGTCTGACAGTATTTGGAATGCGCGTGAGACCACTAATGATCATCAGCATTATAGCCTTCAAGGGTATTCAAGTGGTCTAACTCTTGAACGCCTCATCGGCACCCTCATATCCATTTTTATCCGGATGTGTCAACAAACTGATTTTTCGGTAAGCCTTTTTAATCTCTCCGTCGCTTGCGGTTTTCTCGATCGCCAGGATCTCGTAGAAAGCCGTGGGACTACATCTCCGTATTCTTATCACTTCAGCCTTCTGTTGAGGGGTCCATTTTCGCTCTTGGTTCCCTTGATTGTGTTCTCGGTTATGGGCAGAGCCGTTTGCCCTGGCGTCGGAGCCAGAAGCTGTCGCGGACATACCGCAGGATGAAAGGGGCTTAGGAGTTTGGACGCAGCCCTTGTTCAGGCAGAGAGAATACAGAGAATCGAAGTATGCGATTCAGCCAGGCTTTTGAATGTTCGCTAGGGTTTAGCAGGGGTGTAATGTTTTGCGGCAAAGGTGTTCAAAAGTGAAATCACAAGTCCGCGCCGAGTAAATGGTGGGTGGGTTGCAGGAACCAGAGGCGCCGTTGCCGAACAGCAGCCAAAAATGACGTTGACTTGCCTCGTGCCTTCACCAAACTTCAGCTCTCCACAAGCTTGAGGCCACAATCACGGAGATTTCACTGCGGAATGAAATATGTTGAGACGCCACTCAGTGTTGTAGACATTCAAAATGGCTGACCCTCGAAAACAAGAACAAGCAAAAGAGTCTCTGGTTGTCACTGCCAAAAAATGGGGAGGTCTGTAGCCACCACAGTCCTCCAACGTTCGCATTGCGATTGACTACTTTCCCAGTCTACCTGCTTACGCTCCTAACAGAGAATCCTGTTCCTCCCGCTCTTCTCGCTACGCTCATCTTTGCACAGCATGCCCGGCCATTTCAACCCCTCCCCATGCTATTTCCGCCTTTGTTACTCTTTTCGACTTATCTCAACTTGCAAGGCTTCAAGATCGACAGCGCGGGAACGACAGCTGCGCTGAGTGGTACCTATTTGGTTCTGGCTGGAAGGAGGAGAATGGGTTTCATCAATAAATTCGGCGCGAGGGGCATCATTCGAGGCGCCACAATGGGATTGTGTCTGGTGAATTTGGTTGGTGGAAGTCTTGCCTATGGGTTTGGAAAGAGAGCGGCAGAGGACGAGAAGAGGAAGCAGCTGTGACAAAGGCAAAATGGAATTCATACAACCAGAATATTGCGTGGTTCAGGAAGGATGTGCTGATGATCTTAGGGCGGCATGTAGAACCCGACAGTGAGCTTTTATCGCGGTCGCCCTGCCACAACGTATGAAATTACTAAGTTCAAACGTCGAGTACCGCTCGTGGGGATATTGGCAGTATGGCGACCAAGAACACGGGCTGCAGACGCTGGCAGTGAGGCTGCTCAACCATCTCTTGGATGCATTATTTTGCATACTGTACCTGTGTTCATGAACTCGTGCCAGGAGGAATACAGGAACACGATTCCGCTGGGCCATTCACCACAACTGAGAGACTAGGTTCGAGCTAGGATGCGACAAAATGTACTACTACAAGTGCTGAAAGAAAGTGAAGCCGAAATAGAAGCAAATTGGTTGACTTCGATTTGTACTGGAATATAGTCAATCTGAGATATCTCTGACACAAGGTCTGTCGACCCAAGACCGCTAGGGTTCCCGAGTCTCGTTCCTCTCTCACTTTGGCTTTCCAACAACAAAATATGGAATGTCTCTCTTCATTTGACGCACTCAGATCTACTTTGCCTGACCAGAAAGGTATGTTATCCCAATCAGGCACGGATCAAAGTGTAACACGAGAGGAGAAGTCTCCTTTGAGACTGTCAATCTCGGCATGATTTTGACAACATCCGCTATGGAAAACCAGAAGAGGTGGAGCAGGACGAAGCTTCGAAAGTGCCGTGTCTTACTTACCAGCTCACCCTGCCTCAGTTCACTGATGACACGCAGTTTGAGGTGAAGTGAAATTTCGAATCGACCAAAAGTTGAATGAGCCAGCCGAATAATGTGCAAGGGCAGGACCGGGGAGGAATGAGTGTAGTATATAGGAGATGTTACCAGCTCAGGTTGTTCCTGAGAAAAGGACCGACCCGAAGGGGGGATGGTCGACGGCGGGAAGGTCCCGAGAGCGAAAGAAGGGAAGAAAGAAGACAAGCAAGGGAAAGGAAGAGGCTCTTTTAATAGTCTGGATATTTTGAAGCGTCCTTGGCGACGCTGAGAGAGGGTGAGGCAGAACACTCTATAGAAGTTTCCGTAGTGAATATTGTCAGCCAGAAGCGAACCATTCACCACCACGATTCTGCCGGAACACCAGCAAGAATCAAGCGGAGTTGGATTAGAAAGGCATTGTCATATGATCTCGGCAGCTCGGGAATGTGTGGACGCAATGGGAGAAGAAATGCATTCAACAAGGGTATATTGAGTGCCTTGACAATAAATTGGAGGAGGAAAGAGAGAAAGCTCAAAGGCTCGATTGAAATATTTTAATCAGAGTGGAGTCGCCTGCAAGGCTGTTGTGCTTGGCAAGGCTGTATTGTCAGCCTCGTCAGCTCAGGGAGACCATGCACGTCGTACGGGAAAATCAATGCTCAGGATAGGAGATCGCGGGTAATGTGTCTAGCTGGCCTACGTCCTAGCTGATTGGTCCTAGTTTCCGAATGCCCTTTCCTTTTCATACCATCAGACGGTCTGCATATCCATGACCTTAGTAGAGGCCTTAGAGGCCTTCGACAATTGCGTTGCATCCTCTCAGTGAACACCTGAAGTTTAGGGCGCGACTGATGCCCTGCTCTCCTGTTTGCTTGCCGCCATCGACTAGGATGATGTCTGACAGCCATATACGTTCCAATAGGCGAGAAGGCGGCATACAGCGGCGTTTGGTGTCCCTGAAAAGACTCCAACCATCAGATCTGCTGGGGTCAGCTCACTTCTTTGCGTCGAGTAAGATCGGAGTCTCTCAACTCCATCAATAGATAGTTCCTCAAAATCGTCTTTCAACCAGTTCTTTATCCACCTGTGGCTTCCCGGTAGATGGCGATAGCCTTATTACTTCCCACAGTAACAAACCTTTCGGCCTTCTGTCTCTCAACACTGGTCTCACCCTTAGGTAGCCACTTAACGCACCATAGACCTTTGTCGCTCTCGCCATGTGTCGCAACACAAACTCTTCGCTCGATATCCCACACTTTAAGCTTACCATCCAGACCTCCACTCAAGATGTACTGACCACTGTGATTCCAGTCCAGGTCCGTGATCCACGCTGCATGCCCACTAAGATTGGCAACCTGTTCGCCCGACGTAGGATCATAGAGGGAGATGATTCGTGCGTCACCTGCTGCTGCAAGTAGAGTGGAACCGGGAGAAAATTTGACGGCACGCACGGGGTTGATGAGTCCGGGAAGCGAGTGCAGCAGGCGCGATGTAGCGGTGGAGAACAGATAGATTCCCCCAGACTCATGGCCGCTGGCAATGAATCGACCATCTGGTGACTTTCCCGGTGAAGAACGGCGCGTCAGTATGCTTGTCCCGCTGCCAGCCGATCCAACGGCTGCCAAGTAATGAGATCCTTACCATGTCGAGAGACATGCCGAAGCTTCCTTTCGTCTCAAAGTCCCTGATCTTCTCTCGGCTCGCGGCATCTTCCAGATTCCATACATTCACTCGCCCGTCGTGAGTTGTCCCGGCGACGAACTTTCCATCAGTGGACAAAGACACAGCCCAGACCTCCCCTGCGTTCTTCTTGGGACCGACATCAATATCCCCATCGTCCTTCCACTTTCCCTCCTCGTATTTCCATACTCTGACCTCACCACCAAAGCCGACGCTCACTGCTCTCGTGCCAGTCTCGCGGTCCGTAGTAATGTGGTGGCAACCGAGTTTATGCGCGTCTTTGAGCACCTGAGCGATGGGAAAGCCATCTTCGGTAGCAGAGTGGATTTTAATCGAGGATTCGCCGGAGCCTGTGAGGATTTGGGTCCGAGTTACAGCGAGTGCAAAAATATCTGTGGCGTGGGCTGTACAATGTAGTGTTAGTCGCGGGCTTTGAGGGCATTGAGGGGATAGATATTACCTTCATCGATTGAATGCAAGGCGAGATACTGTTTTGACTTAACTCAATGTCAGTTGACACAACTCCACACACAAAGAGTATCTGGTTACTGACCATGTCGAATACGCCGACGCATTGTACAGCAGCTTCAATAGGACGAGTTGATCAGAATAGCATAAAGAAAGAGGCAGAGACTCAAACTGCCATGTAGGTTAAACCCAAGGGGCTTCTTGTTGACATTGTACAAATTATCATTTGAAATGACGTAATTTTACAGAGTTCCGCACGTTGACAATGCAACCATATTGTAGGAGTCACTGGTCAGATACCGCCTCCTTCTATACCACGCCTCAAACTTAGCTTATTGCCCACCACTCTGAACTGCCTCTTCTCAGCTCGACCTTCCCCGATGCACACAAAAAGGCCCTCTCCACTGTGTGTTGCACGCAAGGCCTTGTTCATGTCCAACTTCGATCACGTTTTATCCCAGCTGAATCCATATGTCTGTTGAATGCTCCAGTCTTCAGGGCTTTCCTGCGTCTGATGCCATCCGTGCCGAATGGTGCTTGGTGGGATCGGATTTGAAAGGGAGAAGTGGCAATGGACAGAGCATCTCTGAGGCAGGCATGCGCGCCGCTCCTTTGTGCTGAAGCGCGGAGAACACATGGACTCGATCATGCGCCAGCCATACATGCATTGTCCCCTCTCTCTCTCTCCACTCGGAAGCTGCTCTTCAATCGCTTTAACTTTTGGTCTGCTCTGACGCCTTGGCCGTTTCGCTCGCTTCTGCATCTCGTTGTTTCCAACTCTCATAGATTTCTGAGGCCTCAGTCAGTATATTTAACAGTCATCGGGTGTGCTAGACTATCCTGCAACACAATATGGACACAATGTATGAGCCTTCTTCGGCCTCCCGCAGCCGGGGCATTGGTTGACGGCTTTTACATCCTTCAGGGCCTTCCCAGCCAGTTGTCGATGTCTCTTTTTCATATGTGACGTTTTCTTCTTGGGAACTGCCCGCAGGATACCCTCCCAAATGTCGGAAATGAGTCCGGGGATACTTGTTGCGATTGAGGGTATTGCGATGGAAGCGGAGATGAGGTTTCGAAATGGCCATGCTGGAACCGAGGCTGACAGGGTGCCTGTGCCCCTCCGGAGGAAGATCTGTGAAAGCTGCGGACTGTTGAATGCAGCAGCCAGGGCCATAGTTGCGGCACTGCTGCGTCTCTGTAAAGAGCTGTTGTAACTTTGTAGATCAATGCTTCACGAGAATCTTTGGCGAGCTACGCACTCTCGGAGCTAGCTCCTCCTGGTTAGCGTTTAGTGAACCAGGGACAATACACAGAGTAGCGACAAAACCGGGTACGCGCCAGTTTAGCCTTCCTTGAAGTGACGCCCCCCTTGTCCCTTTTGCCCTTGGCACGAGACAAAAAGGGGGTCCTTCTTTCAATGCTGGCAAGATCGTCTGGGGAAATTGTTTCGTCGCAGGCAGTCGCAACTCCCTCTTTTTCTCGTGCACAACCCATTTCCTTCATCCATCTTGCCTCCATCTGTGCGTCGACCCAGGTTCGTTCTGTTCATCGCATTAGGACCCTTGAAGTCTCTACAGTCGGACAGACACGATGACTATGGCAATGAATCAACCTAACGCGGTTTTCCCACGTTCACATGTGGGTTTCGATTCCATCACCCAACAGATCGAGAAGAAGCTGTTGAAGAGAGGTTTCCAATTCAACGTTATCTGTGTTGGTAAGGGTTGCCGAAGACTCATATGGACTCAAATGCTCACTGTCTTCAGGCCAAACTGGACTGGGGAAATCAACCCTCATTAACACGATCTTCGCGAGCCACCTCATAGACTCGAAAGGCCGCCTTCGACCGGATGAACCAACACGATCCACTACAGAAATCCAAACCGTCTCGCACAGTCAGTCAATATATCCTCAGCTGTGATGGAAACAGGCCACTGATCAGTTTGCAGTCATTGAAGAGAATGGCGTGAGGCTACGATTGAACATTGTCGATACCCCTGGCTATGGTGATCTAGTCAACAACGATCGTTGGTAGGTGCTGCCCATCCATAACTGTTGAGGGAGTCTTAGTAGACGTTGACTGACTTTCTCTAGCTGGGATCCCATCGTGAAATACATCAAAGACCAGCACTCTGCCTACCTCCGAAAAGAACTGACCGCTCAGCGAGAACGCTACATTCAAGACACCCGCATCCATTGCTGCCTCTTCTTCATTCAGCCCTCTGGCCATGCTCTGAAACCCATTGACATTGTGGTTCTGAAGAAGCTCTCTGACGTCGTCAACGTGGTCCCCGTCATTGCCAAAGCGGATTCCCTCACCCTTGAGGAACGCAGAGCTTTCAAGGAGCGGATCAAGGAAGAGTTTGCTTTCCATAACCTGAAGATGTACCCATATGACAACGAAGAGCTGGATGATGAGGAAAGAGCCACCAATGCCACCATCAAGGACATTATCCCGTTTGCAGTTGTCGGCAGCGAAAAGTCGATTATTGTTAATGGCAAGCAGGTTCGTGGCCGACAGAACAAATGGGGCATCATCAACGTCGAGGACGAGAATCACTGCGAATTTGTGTACCTTCGAAACTTCCTTACTCGCACTCACCTTCAGGACCTCATCGAAACCACCAGCCAGATCCACTACGAGACCTTCAGAGCCAAGCAATTGTTGGCCCTGAAGGAGAGCAGCGCTGCAAGCGGCATGGCTGGCAGCAGACCAATCAGTCCTGCGGCTGACCGAGAATTGAGCAGGGGCTCACAACGCATGACGATGAACGGGTATTAGGAGATTTGCACATATGAAGCATCCAAGCAAGGGGAGGGGGATGGGGATGGATTTGACAAAAGCAATGGTTGAGCTTGAGCGATTGCCATATCCTTTTCTTGTCACCTGAAACTCTATTCTAATGTAGCGTCTATGCAGAGAGCGGGCCTTTCGTCTTTGAGCTGGGGTATAAACTAATTCTCATGACTCTTCATCATCGCCGTGGTTTCCGAATGCAAACTCCGTGTGCAAACAGTTTCCTCCCTTGCCGTTTGTCGAATCAAGCTGAGGCATCTGTAGCAAGATCTTTCATCACCCATTCGTCAAGTTCCTTGAATGTGGCATCGAGGTCGTCGTTGATTATGACCTTGTCGTTCTTGCCCTCGATCTTACAATACTCCATCTCGTTTTTGGCTTGGGCCAGACGCTTCTGAATTGCGTCTTCACTGGTGTCGCCGCGGCCACGTAGTCTTTGTTCCAGAACCTCGATGCTTGGTGGTTGGATGAAGCAGATCCTCGGGTTCAGCTGGCTCTTCTTCAACTGCTTGACGCCTTCCATCTCGATGTCAAATATACATATCCTCTTGCCAGGAGCTATGCTGCCATCGATGCTCTTGCCTTTTCCCTCGGCGACGTCTTGAACAGCCTTCTTCGAGGAGCCGTAGTAGTTCCCTCCGAATCTGGCGTGCTCCTCAAAGGCATTTTCTGCTATCATTGACTCGAATTTGTCTGGGGTGATGAAGTGATAGTGAACGCCATCTTCTTCACCAGGTCGTGGCTTTCGAGTAGTGTGTGAGACACTGAAGCCGAAGAGATCGGGATGTTTCGCGAAGAGTCGCTTTATAAGGGTACTTTTGCCAGTGCCCGAAGGCCCGGAGAATACAATGGGTCTTGGCTCGTCTGTTGGGGCAGAGGCAGCCATAGCCGCACCACGACTTGAGTATTGAAAGACCAGCCTCAGCTTGGGCTGTAAGCAGTTCTGGGGTCTTAGAAATAGCGAGGCTACTCTTCTTGACATCAAGAGATTGCGGCGCAGTGGGAAAGAGAAGGCATATCGACAGTCAAAGCGGTGAAAAAAAGAACCAATGGAGAATATTGGATCTGCGGTCTTGGCAGGGGTTAGAACGAGGGGGCATCCTTGGAGAATCCCTCCTTGCCCTCTCTGGCCCCTCCAACTTGTCTCTATTGCGACTTGCAAAAGACACTTAATCTGAATCGTCGTACCAGTATCTTCAGGCCATTCTCGCAATGGATTCGCCACAAGTCCTCGACCCATCAGACGACGCTCTCGTGCAATTGCCTCAATCTCAAGGAGGCGATACAGGTGACCCTCGTGAAGATGCCTCACACGGCGTTGTCGGAATGGTGCCGGGTAGCGATGGCAAAACGCGTCCGAGGCGTCCACGCGTAAGTGCCCGTCCAATCTGGCATGCTTGATAGAATAGACGAGCGCTTTATTACAGGACTTGGCATAAATCAATGTGTGCTAATGGGCTCTGTAGGGTCGTCACGCAAAAGATCCGTTGGCAAAATCCATAGCCATCAAGTGTCAGAGATTGGAAGATCTCGAAGCCCAACTACAGGAGCATTTGGCCGATCCGGCCACTGACCGTGAACACACCACTCTGGAATTTGACTTCCCTGTCACCGCCGCCTTTATGGTGGCTGCGAGGGAGCCCCTTGGGAAAGGAGATCTAGGTGAAAAAAGGACGCCGTACACGTACAGCTTATTCAACAAGACCGCAATCACTGTCATCGATGCTTTGCACACGATCGAAGACCCCAAGGAACGGGTGATCATGCAGAAAGGTATCAGCAAAACACTCGTCGAAGCATGTCAAAACGTGGATGGATATCGCTACAGCTTCCACAATCACTGGATCAGTCGAGAAGACCAAGCAAGCAGATTTTCATACTGTGAGTCTCTTCACCACGAAACTTTGTGCCAAAAACATGTTCTTCCTTGGCACAAGTTTTCAATCGCTAATTACTACCCCAGACTGCAATGACTCCGTGCTCAACAAGGGTCGGGCTGCTAACGAGGGCGTTTCTAAGATCAAAGCTGGTGTCAAGGTTCGCAAACCAGTTTATGATTGCCACGGGTTGATCTCTATCAAATTCTCCGTGACAAAGAACAAGTTAGAACTCCACTACAAACACATTCCGCTTCACAAGACTTTCGAAGAAAGGGCTCCCAATCCTCGCAATGGCTCAAAGCGCAAGCGTCTACTAGAAATCTTTCATCCAGAAAGGCTCCCGAAACAGAAAAGGAGAAAGTCAGATGAACCTAAACCCCCGCGATCTAAGAGGTCTGCTGCAGAGCCAGTTCCAAAGGCAGGCGAAGGGTCAACCGCGCCACAAAGAGAGAATAGTTTGGCACCGTTATTCGATTTTCTGGGCAGGCTTGAAGAAGATAAGTCTGGGCCAGATACAACAGAACCACCAACCACTGACGTCGACGTCGACGTCGTCAAGGACCGCGGTCCCGACAGCGGAAGCAGACGCAAGAAGAAAACGGTTCCCGGTACGTTTATTTGGAACATCGCAGACTCGCAGAAACAGAAGCGCGCCCCAAAGAGGTCTCAGACTGCTCTCGTCGTTACAGCGGCCCTTGCACCTCCTCCCGCTACGGCGGCTCCGGCAGATATGATTCCTCCAAGCGATGGCCCAACAGTGACATCGGTATCTTCGACCGAATTAGAGCTGCGAGCAAGGCTAGAGCAGGCCGAGCAAAAAATTCGCGATCTGGAAGCTGAAAAGCAACAGCAGGCAAGAGTACCCGCAGAAAGGCCTAGTGCTCTGCTCAAGGAACCACAGGGGCCACGGCCTCCACCCCTAGCCACGGCTTATCCTGCTCTTCCACCTAATACATACTTCCCTCCGCCGCATTTCCCATATCCCTCGGCTTCCCTACAATGGAGCTACGCTCCTCATCCTTATCACTACCCTTACCCTTATCCACCAGGATGGTCATCCAGTCTGCCCTTCCCCAACCCTTCGCCAGGGACCGCTCCAGGTGCAACCCATCCTGATGCGTATCACTACCAATCGCAACCTCTGCCTCCACTTGGGCAGCAGCGGCCTCGATCAAACCCATCACCAACATACGGCTTCGTTCCCAGTCCCATAGACCCGATGGACCCTGTTAGAATGAGGATCAGATCATACATTGGCCCTTCTCAACCTCACGCCATCCCTGATTCCAGCTCTGTTTCTCGCGTCGAACCACGTGCAGAGACTCAGGCTACGGCCCAATCTACTCGATCTCCATCACAGCGCCAAACTGAGAGGAGTTCCCGTGCACCTTCCGAACCGGCGCCAGAGCCATCGGATAGAAATGCAACAGCACCAGAACCGTCGGACGGAAAAGCCTCCGTGGTAGCCCTTGCAGAATTAGCCGAACCGGAGGCTAG